GCTGCCACTGCTACTGCCGCTGCCCAGCACACTCCGCCAGCCCCTCGGGGTGTGGTTTCCCCAGACCTGCCCCCAACGGTGGGACCCAGTCTTCTCCTGGCCTCCCCTGCTAGCCTCCTGCAAGACCCAGCAGCCTCCCCTTCCCTGGACACACACCCAACTTCTTTTCAGCACCCCACCCCCTTCTCCAAACCTTTCTTTTGGGGGATCCCCCTTCCTTTTACTTTATTTCTTTTAGATCCCTTGGTGCTCTGGGACTGTGCCCAACTTCCTTTCAGTTAAGTCCCAGCCCCTTGGGATTTCCCCCAGGTCCCTTTTTCCTCTCTGCGAAACTCTGTAGAGTGTGGACCTGGCTTTCTCGGCTTCTTCAGCAGCTACCCTCTCCCTCAGATACCTCTCAGCCTCTTAAAAAAACCACCCGATCCCATATCTAGTCTGTTAACTACCACACTCCCTTCTCCAGCCCCACTAGGCCCCCTCCTTTTTCCTTCCTCAGAACTATAGAGTGTAGACGCCACCACCCCCCAGCTATTCTTGGCAGCTCTAGGCACTCCCAAGACACCTTTCAGCCTCTTTACAATCTCCTGGCTCTATAGCCACCCTTTGAGATGCATGAGCCCCTTTTCCAGATCCATAAGGGGGCTCCATCCACTTTATGTTCTCCCAGAAGTCCTGAGGGTGTGGATAACCCTTCTCACCTTTCTCTCTCCCTCCTTGAATCTCTCCCCTCTTCCAGACACTCACCTCTTTCAAGCACCTTTGGTGCCATTTCTCCCTGTCTAGATCCCCAGTCTCATCTCCAACCCTACTGAAGGGTTCCAGGCCCTTCTTCCTTCCACAAAAACTCTTGAGAGTATGGACAACTCTTCGAATGTTTCTTGGCCTCACTAGACACCCCCAGACATCTCTCAGGCCCAGGCTGACCTTTCTAGAATCATCTCAGTTTCTGTAACCTCCCACAGCACCTTCTTGGCTGGTCTAGATGCTCCTTTTCTGCTCCTCTCCATGTTCCCTGTGCCCCTTCTCAGTCCCTCCAGACATCGCCCAGATCCCTCCTAAACCCTCTAAATGCCTCCCAAGGTCCTGCCAATCACTCTACTTTCTCTTCCTGGTTGCTCTTGGCCTCTCTAGACACCCGAAGTTTGCTTGTCTGGGTGGCCCAGGGCCTCTCCAAGCCCCCACCATCCTGGTCACAGCCACAT